ATATATATATACAGATACAAGTTGCATCCCTATTGACAATAAACATATATTGTTTGCTTTCCACTTGCATGCAGCAGGTGGCACACCCAGTGCTACACAGAGCCCATATACTGCTGTGTAATGAATAGTATTTGTAATTGGATGATCCGCTATTTATGTCCATCTGTTACACACACGTAGCTGTATTCAATGTTTGTAAAAAAAGTTTTATAGGAGCTTTGAAAAAAAATGACATAAAAGGTAAACCTATGAAATTGTAAGCATTGAAAAACAAATAACCAAAGCCCATTATATATTCCTTTCAAGATTACATTAGTTCAGTCTTCAGAAGAAATGTTTTAGCCTGTATTATAAAAGCATTCTGTAATGTTTCGAATTTTGTCCCTCTGAGTCATATAAATGCCATTAGAGTAGACTGTTTTTTCTTAATAAAGTGATCATCTACAATTGATGCATGACTACTTTTCCCTCTCTTTTCAGGACTGTGAACTTCGATATTGTTAGATACTTGTATGATTTTCTATGACCAGGCTTTCCCTAGGAGGAATACTGAAGGAGAACCGTGCATTTCTGTAAAATAAATATGTATTCTCAGCATCGATTGCATTATTTGATATGTATTTTGTAATTAAACTATTCTAAAATTCCACAGTCTCTCTTTAATGTGTGACTACATTTGGAACACATTGAAATCATTTACAGTAGTGGTAAAGTATCAGAGTATACTAAGCTGGATTAATACATACTGATCGGCAGAAGAATTCTAATCTAATATTGCAGGGAATATAATTGTGTATTTTGAGTACAGATTTGTTGATGCTTATATGTAGTATTCTATGTAGTGTGCACTTCATCCATCCATTTATGTATGTAATTACTGGCCTTCTGTTTTCCATAATATGGTAAGTGAAGTTAGGAAAAATGACATACAATTAGAATGCTAGCATTACACTTCAATTAGTGTCATTGCTGATGACTTTATGTGCAATGTAATATATTCCACTTTACTTCCATGAAGTGATGCTGGTAAAACTTGCAGAAAAACAAGCATGATTATGCAATTGCTATTTTAAACACCTTCTCCCGATGTATATTTAAGGTGAGTAAATGAATATATACCTTGAGCCATAATGACTGTCATTTTCTCTCTAAATATGTGTCTTCAACTTAGCAAAGTGTGCATATTGTTTACTTGTCAGATTTTGGAAAACATTTGAGATTTGTATATTTAATAGGTTGTATTTTTGGATTGTGACTACATCTGGCCAGCTCCAAACCTTTGTACAACTGCACATGTTTGACCTATAGAGAGAGGTACACTGCAGACTGACTTTTCAGATGGAAATCAATGTGTGATTGGACAGGTCTCCTCTCCTTCTTGCTGTCTTGTGGGAATATTTTAAAGGAATAGTTGTGAATAAGCAATATCTTGAAAATGTATGTTTTGCCTTAAACCTTTGTGCACTTCCTGACTTGTGATCGTGCCAAGGCACTGTGTCTGTAGTGTGAGATCATCCAAGGCAGGTCCAGCTTTTGAGGCTAGCTATCCTTAGAGATTCAGAGAATTGTCTTCCCAGGTGACTGTTGGCAATGTCACTACTGCGCTGCCTGTTGGAGAGGAAGCTGTACCTGAGGAGGTGTAGTATAAAATCTTTTTGCTCTTTCATGATTCACTCTTGATCTCTGCTTTTGATTACCTCTTTTGCTGCGTGTTGATTCCTTTGGGATACGTGTCTCCTTCGCCTCTCTTGCTGCCTGTTGATTACTCCCCGCTTTCCCCACTAGACATCAGTTTATTAGATCACAATTTATTAGGAGGGCAGGTTTGATAGATCACAAGTTATCAGGAGGGCAGGTTTGACATGTGGAAGCAAATCACTGCTCTTCTGCCAAAATGGCTGCCACCACACATAGGCAGAATGCTCAACTAGGCATACTAACTTGGCCTGGTAAAAAGATCAGGTGCAGGGAGCATACAGGTGACTAGACTAGAACAAGCCCTCTGCTTGGCCTTTTTGTGCACAGCTTCCACGGTATACAAACTTTATGTAGGCTTAAGTCGCATCTTTTTTCGCTACACTCTCATTAACAAGGCGTTTCCACAGAACTGCCACTCACTGAATGTTTTGACATAGTGAAGTCTCAAGAGTATACAGAGAATGGTTGGAAAAAGTTTCCGAGATGCTGCAACCACCACATCTAATTCCAACAATCATTCCTCAGTCAACACCAGTTGGCTAACACGACTTCTCTATTCTCATGTTTGCTTGAATGGCAGCTAAAACTCTTGGCCGTGAAGACATGCTTTATGTATTTAGTTGCTGCCAAATGATTTGCTGGTTTGCTATGTGTTTATGAGGTACATCTGCTTTAAAGTGTTCACAAAATTGTCAAGGTTAGTCTTCTTTGCTTTCTAAATTAAAATGGGAACATCCATTAGTGTGCAGAGATGTGGAATAATTAAACATGGCATCCAATGCCATTGCTGCTAGTTGTGCCTAGAACAAGCCTGGTGATGTCATAGAGAGGATTTGTGTAGTGTTCATGCATCAAACAATAAATTAACTCGCTTATCCAACCACTTCGATCTTGTAGGTGCTGCAGGCTGAGCAGGTCCATCCAAAATTCCCCGTGCAATGCAATGTACTCTGGCTGTTCTTGGGTGATTCCAAGGCATTCTTAAGCCAGATAGGAGATTTAACCCTGAAAGGTCTATTCTTCCCCTAGTTGGGTAAGCCTGTTACAGCCCCCAAAATAGCCTCGCAAGGAAGCATTCACATTAGATTCTCAAGGCACATCTCTTCACCAGAGTAGTATCTCTGGGCTGAGGACCCTTTTATGAGACCCGTTAACTCCACCTATGTATATGAGTTGTTAGTGGGACTTGAGAAATACTGCCGTAGGGTATCATTTCCAGATTCTCATGATGTGCCAAGGATACTTGGATGGGTTTAAAAGTTGATTAGATAATTGCTGCCTTTTTCTGTGTATATACAATGTACTCAGTCAACCAAAAGAGGGAGTCCAAAGATAACATATCCCGCACTTTAGTAAATCCTCCTATTTTTCCTTTTTATCTTGCAGGAGAGTCCTTTGTGAAGGTAAAGTGCATTTCATTATCTTATCGGGGTGAAACTGATATATCGGCTATGAAATATATAGAGCTTAGGAAGTGCAATAAACACTAATTACTGATTTATAAAACTGGAGAAAACACAAAAGGCACAACAGCGGGATCCTTGCCCCTATTGATCAGTCAGGATTCATCTTTTATTCTCTTAGAAAAAAAGCATCTGATTGATCCCTGTGGGAAATTTACATTATCAGAAGAAATAATATCATTTCACTTTATACACAAAGCATGCTTAAGTGCAAGCACAGTGGCAGCAATAATTTGTACTGCACAGAATGGTGTTTAGTGAATCAGTTGCTTGTCTGCGTTGCGTTATATAAAATGGAACACGTACTGCAGGATCTGTGCCCTTTACAGAACTTACAAATCTAATTTGAGGCAGTTTTTTTTCCAGGTACTTGATGCATATGTGTCCTGACTCTCTTAGTAGTGAAGCCAAGATCAGGACAACAGCCTGGAGACGGTGTTTAAAGGAAATCTGCCTTAGGAGAAATATGTAGGCTGCAGTTATTGATGCCTTCTGGAAATGCTAGGCACCTGGCTGTTTTGCTGATCCTCTTGCTTCAATGCGCTGAATCACTGAAAGGGAAAAAACATTCTTATAAGGACTTCTGATGTTTCTCTGCATTCCCTGGTCTCCATATTTCGTCCAGGTCAGTGACTTAGAAGGTATTAAATGTTACCGCTAAGCAAGTAGCATTTTTATAAGGAAGTCAGTAATAGTAGGCCCATATTTATTCTGATGACTGGCTACCTCCCAAATTGACCCTGTGTGTGTGTAGACGGAACATTTAATTGGGAGCACCTTTTGAGTCACAGGGTCTAATGTGAATGATTGATTTTTTTTGTACTCTGTAAAGTGCTGCTCTTACCCCACATAGAGCTGCAGCGAAGGCAGAAGTGGAAGTGAAGGGGTTGGTGGATTTAAAGTCTATAGCTGACCATACACCTATGGGTTTTCCATCGGAAATTGTCCTTGCTGCCAAGAACCCCTTTGTCGATTCTAGCTCAAATAATGCACAGACCAATGTCGATTTCGATAATCGTTCATCAGCAATACTAACTCACTGAATTTCGTCGATCGACACAACGGATTTTTGTTTGCGCATGTGCAGTGTACTTGCAATTGGTTTTCATACGAAAACGCCACTAAGCCATTTTTTTTTTCGCCGCACGATTTGAAAAACATTTTCCAGCCTGACCAATCAAGGACATTCTGGCAAGGAGTACAGTAATGAAAATTGTTTGGTGTCCCATCAACTGATCGATTATCGTTCAAAAGCCCATTCACTGATTATTTCCGAATCGAAAACGATTGGTGTATGGGCACCTTAATGGGTAAGAGTTTCAGCACTCTGATGGTTTGGTAACTGGTTCGGTTACATACAGTGGACAAAAAACCACATACTGAATTTAAATACACCAATCTAACGCCAAAAAAATGTTCACTTCAACAAAAGTACCATAACGGATCATCTATTTCCATGGTCATCTCTCCCCCAAAAAATATTTTACAGCAGAACTTATCTGAAACCCTCCTCCAAGAGCAGCTTGGAGGAGGGCTTTGACTCTGACACTTCTTTATGTGGCACCCGCTGTAAAGGATTGATGTAAGTAGCATACAAATAAAAATGTTGTATTGCTCAACTTACAAGATGAAAAACTTGATATGGGAAGAGTACAGGACTCATTCTTGTATTCTATGGGCACTCCACATTTTATATGGTGAAAGACATCCCTCTTCATATATAAAAATGTATATTACATAATACCCTATTGGGATTAACAGTTCAACCATAGTGAATAGCAACCAACCAACATACAATTGACTTAGAAAAGCACTAGATGGATATTGATTAGTTGTGATGGGCACTGGTAGCTGCATTATTCTGGCCTGCCCCTTTTACACAGGTGGCTTCCACTCCAATCAGCTGAGGATCCGTGAACACATCCCTTGAAGAATCCGAGCAGAATGGAACATGTCGCTTTTGTGACATTTGTGAACCGATCCCTTGAAGAATCCGAGCAGAACGGAACATGTCGCCCGTGTGACATCTGTGAACAGATCCCTTGGGGAATCCGAGCAGAACGGAACATGTCGCCCGTGTGACATCTGTGAACAGATCCCTTGGGGAATCCGAGCAGAACGGAACATGTCGCCCGTGTGACATCTGTGAACAGATCCCTTGGGGAATCCGAGCAGAACGGAACATGTCGCCCGTGTGACATCTGTGAACAGATCCCTTGGGGAATCCGAGCAGAACGGAACATGTCGCCCGTGTGACATCTGTGAACAGATCCCTTGGGGAATCCGAGCAGAACGGAACATGTCGCCCGTGTGACATCTGTGAACAGATCCCTTGGGGAATCCGAGCAGAACGGAACATGTCGCCCGTGTGACATCTGTGAACAGATCCCTTGGGG